CCCCCCCCCTCCCCAATTTTCTCAATCCAAAACCTTAATTTAAAGATGAAATTAACGATAGATTAGTGGAATATAACCATAAATGAGTTAAGAATCATTACCCAATAGCTTCCTCTGAAAATTCCTCAAATTTTCGCCTCAATCTGAGCTCTCAAAGTCCCAAAGTGAAAATGAGATCAAACCCTCGAAATTTTCCCTTTTCTGCCAGTGATCTCGCAACTGCGGACACACAGTCGCACCTGCGATGCCGCACCTATGGAATTTTCATCGCAGGTGCGGACTTGAATTAATACACCTGGGTCCGCTTCTGCGATCAAATGGCCGCACCTGCGACTGCACGCCTGCGGAACTAGCCCGCTTCTGCGGACTCCTCACCAGCTCGTTCTTCGCTTCTGCGATCACACCTCCGCATGAGCGGCTCCGCTTCTACGGTCCTTATATCGCACCTGCGACCACTCACTACCTAGACTAGGGCCGCATCTGCGACCTTCCTCTCGCACGTGCGTGTCCACACCTGCGGCCAATCTCACCGCAGGTGCGATGACACCAGAAGCTGGAAAGTTTCAACAATACTCCCAAGTCAATTTCTAGTCTGCTAACCACCCGGAATCCACCCGAGACCCCCAGGACCTCAACCAAATATACCAACAAGTCCTAAAACACCATACGAACTTAGTCGAGCCCTCAAATCATATCAAACAACAACAAAAATACGAATCGCACCACAATTCAAGCTTAATGAACCTTGAAACTTCAAACTTCTACAACCAATGTCGAAACCTATCAATTCACGTTCGATTGACCTAAAATTTTGCACATAAGTCATATTATTACGGACCTACTCCAACTTCCGGAATCGGAATCCGACCCCAATATCAAAAAGTTCACTTCCGGTCAAACTTCCCAAAAATTCAACTTTCGCCATTTCAAGCCTAATTCAGCTACAGACCTCCAATTCACAATACGGACACGCTCCTAAGTCCAAAGTCATCCAACGGAGCTAACAGAATTGACGAAACTCCATTCCGGAGTCGTCTTCACACAGTTCGAACTACGATCAAAATCCTAGAACTTAAGCTTATATTTTAGGGACTAAGTGTCCCAAATCACTCCGAAACCAAGAATAAAACCTCCCAGCTAGTCACATAAGCATAAAATAATACAGGGAAAACAGTAAATAGGGGATCAGGGCTATTACTCTCAAAATAATCGTCCGAGTCGTTACAAAAGGAACATTAGAAAGAATACAAGAGATTATTAGAAAAAAGCTTTGTAGGAAACCATGATCGGGATTATCAAGGGCGTGGTACTTGAAAAAGGGACAAATGTGAAGGTCCCTAAGCAAAAGGAGTATGGCGGTGTACGGGATGTACGCGAGGTGGACGACTTACTATGGAGGATGGACAAGCACTTTGAGGTAGTCAAGGAGGATGACGAATTTGTTAAGGTACACAACGCCTCAATGTACTTGATCGAGGTTGCCTTGCTGGGGTGGCGTCGGAAGTGTGCCAACATGGAAAAAAGGGCCATGCAAGATTGGGTCATGAAAGTAGTTCAAGAAGGATTTGAAGAGCAATTCTACTCGATGAATGTAGTGTACGAGGCTAGGCGGAAGCTAAGAGAGCTCCGACAAACGGCCATAATTCGGGAGTATGTGCGCGAATTCACTACCTTAATTCTGCAAATCTCATCGTTGTCCGAGAAGATTATTTCTTCTACTTCATGGATGTGTTGCAAAATTGGGCAAAACAGGAGTTAAGAATACATCAAGTAGCCAATGTGGACGAGGCCACCGCAGTAGCCGAGTTGCTCGTTGAATTCAAGATGGAGCTTGCCAAGTCCAAAGAAAAAAATGCTGAGAGGGGTGGGGGAGATCATGACAAGGACAAGGGGAAAGTCATAGCCGAGGTATACACGGGCAAAGGCAAGGGGCCATCCCTTAATGGATAGAGGTCCAAGAGAAACGGCAAGGGGCCAAAAAACGGTAGCGAGTACGTGCCTAAGGGAGGGTGCTACTTCTGTAAAGGATCACATCGGGCAAGTGAATGCGCAAAGTTGGGAAAACTTGCAACAATGATCGGGAATTTTGCTCAGGCACACAAGGGTGACACAGGAGGGACCTCATACATTGGGAGGATGCGCTTGGAATCTAAGCCGAAAGTAGGGGATTCCAAAGCCTATCTTGGCGCCATGCAAATGAAGCAGGGTGGCAGCAAGAAAAGTTGGGCGGACATAGTTAAAGAGGATAGAGAGTTACAAAGTGATGGCACACTATCGAACTTAGACAATGCACAAAGCAGATGGATCAAGTTTGCTAGCAAGGGTGGGACCACAGATGGCAGCCAAATAGAGAGTGGAAGCATAGACCCGATGCTTGAGAAGCTGCTAGACTTGGTCGAGTCATGGGGAGATTCAGGCCAAGAGCAAGGAGAGGCATCCGATGGGCGGAGGATCGAGGCCATCATTGCTAGCCATCCAAAGTACAAACGGAGCAAGAAGAAAGGTGACCAGTACCTTGTGACATGGGAAGGCAAACCGCTCCATAGGATATCATGGCTAATGGACAAAGATCTTCGGCGACTCCAAGGCGAGGTAGGTGCGCACGTACGTGTTGATACTTTGTGCCGAGGGCGGCACAAAATTAGGTGGGGGAGAGTGTCATGACCCGGCACATCATTATGCCACGTAGGTACCACTTGGCATATATTTTTGCCATATGGAAAGCTTACACATGAAAGAGGCTAGAAATTGTAGGAAAGTTCTAGAGAAATATAAAGATTTCCCAAGAAAGACCCTAGAACTCTATGGATTTGCTAGGAAAGTCCTTGGAAGATTCTAGTTATGTAGAGAATAATAGATATGGGTCTTACTTGTAAATAATAAGGGACTTGTGTAATAATTAATATTTACACACTAGCCCCTCAGAGATTAGTATATAAAGGGGACCATTCATTTGTAATTCATCAAGCAAAACAATCAAGTTCTCTACAATAAAAAATTTCATTTAGCAAATTTCTCTTAGCTTTCTTATCTAACATTCCCTTAGCAGTCTTGAGTGTAGTATTTTAGGCTGACTTGGCATAGCAGGATCGTGAGCAAGTTGTCAAGTGCCGCACGTGTGCTTAGTTCAAGACTAAAGACGTGACATAAGCCTCTAAATTTATAGACAATGAAAAAGTGAGATGAAGAGATGCAATTTAAAAGATATCTCTTCCATTTCCCATTCACACTCATTCGCGAAACCTAACATGCACTATAATGGTGAAAGCAATTCGAAAAATATTTTAACGAAATTTTCAATTGAAAATTAAAAATAATGGCTATATATTTGATGAATAAAAGTAAATTCAAAATTTAAAATATTACAAGGAAGATGACCTAGATCAACAAATGAGAGAAGTTATATTCCTCTATTTGTTGAAAAAATTGTCAACCAAACATTTAAAAATAACTTTTTAATCAAAAATTTTCGTCATACTAAACACACCACACGCTTCAAGTTAAAAACGTACTCATACATATACTGTGTTTAACACAAGTAATAAACGCATACATGTGTTTTTCTTACCTACATCTACTTGCACCGGTTTATTTACCGGTTTAATTCTCTTTCTCAAAATAAAACATTAAACAAGATCCCCACTTTCCTTTTCCAGCTTTTGGGGGAGAGAGAGGTCTTGCTGGCAATTTTACTCTCTTTGCTTTGCTTTTGTCCGCAAGATCTCCTCTCCTTCTTCTCTCTTTCCTTTGTAATAATTAATAAAACTTCCGCGTTAATCCCAAATCCCAATTCCCTCTACTTGATCTACTAACACCCTTTTCATTTCCTTCAATAAAAACCTCACCTTTCCCCCTTAAATTCCACTTATTTGCTCATTTTCTTGAAGAATTTCAAGAACTGAGCTTTGTACTCAATTACCCAGTAATAGAAACAAAATGGGTTTTCATTTAAACCCAAAATATATATGGATCCTCTTACTTCTCATTACTACCCCTCTGATTTTTGCTCAGGTAGTGTTAAAATCGGTTCTTTAACATTTTGGGGGTGCAAATGATGTATGATGTCCTTTTAATTTTGATTTTTTTAATTGTTTTGGATTTACTTAGGATGCTGTGGATGAAACTGAAATTGTTGAGTCAGGTGGACGGTTCAAAGATCTGGGTAGGCGTAGTAAAGTGAGTATACTTTAGCTTAATTTGCAATTTTATCTGTTTGATATTTTGAAAATTTACTGAATGTGTGTGATTTTTATGCATTGAAAGGTGTACATTATTAGTTTGGTGTGTGAGTGTATGTGTTTGTCTTTAGTCATTTACTTTTACTGTTTTACCTTGCTGGCAGCTGCTTATTATAGTGCTGCACAGAGGTGGATCCAGAATTTAGAGTTAGTGGACTTGGAATCAGGGGTAGATGTAGGCTTTAAGATATGACTCAAACCCTGTATATATGTAACGAAATCCACAAAATATGTAAAAATTGAAATTGAGAACCTAGTTGCTAGCACTTGAGGTCGCGGTTCTAGAATCCAAAACTTATAAAGCTCAAATCTTGGATCCGCCTTTGCTTGGAATTCCACTACTGTAACTGTATTTTTTGAAGCAGTAGGTTCGGCTGAACGCACTGCGTATATACTAAGTTCATTCGACCTTGATGCTGGAGTAGTATGTCATAGGATTACGCAGAGAGTGGAATAGAAGATCTTGTGATTACTTTTTGCTCATTTCTCCATATCTACTGAAGCTTGGTGTCAAATACTGAAGTAGAACCTTAATCGATGTAAACTTAAAGAGATATGATGCATACAGAACTAAAGACATACCCCTATAAAGACCCTATATATTTACTGAAGTAGAAGTGTAGCGGTGGAATATTAGTCTTGCTATAGAGTACAATGTCGGATGGAGCTAAGATTAGATGCAAGCATGTTTACCAGGTGCGGAGAGTGACATGTTATATGCACTGCATGAGCATCCATCAGAGAGAGTATCAATTTAGTTTAATAAGCTTTTGTCTGAGCAGCAGTTTTATACTCGAAAGTTACTGCGAATCAGTGATTTAGTTGTCTGTGTATCATCGAGTCAGGTGAAAAAAGATCTACAAAAACGATATAGGCTGGGAGTTATATGATTGAATGGATACCTTGGTATAACTCTGCTGATAAATGATGTGTAGTGGCCCCCTGGGCTTTGGTCTAGTAGTAAGAGCAAAACGCGTGATGTCTTGATTAGGCGCACGCCACGAGTTCGAACTCTGCACTTGACAAAAGTCTGGTATTCACATGGAGTGGATAGGGGGGGCGGGCTCATTATCCATCGTGTTTCGAACCGTGCTCCAGCTGACCAGAAAAAAAATTGATCCATAGTGTGTTAAATAAAGAATTGAAAGAACTGCAAACAAGAAATGGTTCCTTCTGTTATGTATGATTTGAGAACTAATGGGTTACCAATAACCGAACATCAAATTTTAATGTGACACTATTTGAGGAGTTTAATATGTTTTTGACTTGTGTATTATATAAGCAGCAACTCAAAAAACTATTAAAACAGTAATTGGAAAGTTAGATTTATTGTAAAAACACCATATCCAGTTTTAATTTATTTAGATAAAATGAAGTTTGATTTTGAGACTTTTAAAGTTGTATAAAATAATTGAATGGCGTTACACATTTTGGTATTTCTCCAAATAATAGGAACATGTCTTTGAATGGGGATTAGGGAAATAATACTCATCGCTAGCTTATACAATCTTGCTTGGCATTTCTACCACACGTGTTTCTAATTTAGTTTGTTTTTGCATTTATTTACTGGGCAGATTATTGTTGAGAAACTGAAGTCTGGTGTTGTGAGGGATGATGATCCAGATTCCGTTGATCTTGGTCTGGACTTGGACTCTAATCTTGGCACTCTTGATGCCTTTTTTGCTAGTTTGTCGATGATCCTTGTCAGTGAGGTTAGTAACTATGCCAGTTTATTCTTTTACTACTGCTGTATTTCGTTGCAGTTAATTTCTGGTTAGTCTGCTTTTCTTCATGACAAAGGTTGTACACTTATCAGTTATTTGTGATTTTCTGCTTCTCACGATATTAGTGATGATGACTATGAGGTTAGCTGTTGAAAATCTTTTACTTCAAAATAGCTGGTTGGTGACTTTTAAATTGAACACTTCTGTTTCTCAAACCAAACTGCAGTTTGGCGATGAACTATTCATTTTGGCTGTGCCGTCGTCAAAACATTGCCTTACTCTTGTTTAATAAGTGTTTTATGGATGGCTATGCTGCTAGATTGGTGATGAGACATTTATAATAGCAGCTCTGATGGCAATGCGTCACCCCAAATCAATCGTTTTATCTGGTGCACTCAGCGCTTTGTTTGTTATGACTGTAAGTAATTTGAACTTCCTTCAATACTTTGTTACTTCACACATACATCATTACTTCTCTCCCCTTCATTATGTTAAATTATTTCTCCTACATTTACAGTTCTCACTTTTAGTATGTGCAAATATGTTTAGTACTAACTCTAGGTCTCTTCTTCATATAACTAGATACTTTCTACTGGACTTGGTAGGATAGTGCCAAATTTGATATCAAGGAAGCATACAAATAGTGCAGCTACAGGTTGGTACTTTACATATTGCTGTTCTGTAATTGTCTCGGTTTACTTTAACAATGTGATACCTTTCTGTTGATTTTGGCTCTATAACTGTCTCTAAGATCTCGACTTGAAACCTGACAGTAATTTTTCCGGTGTTCTTATTCCAGTTTCTTGCCAGATTTTTGATTTTTCCTTTGTAGAAAATTGAATTAGTGAATAGCTACTCATTCTTTCTATGCAACATAATGTAAATTGTGATTTCTTATTGGGTTGCAATACTACTACGTTTTTTCTGTTTTTTTCTTCTTGACATGCCTATTTTCTGCATATTTTGTGGGATAAGACTGATTCTATCGTTCCCATCCTTATTTCATTCGATTAGATAGTTACAAAGTTCTATTTTTCCTATTTTTGTGCAGTTCTTTATCTCTTTTTTGGGCTTCGGCTTCTCTATATTGCATGGAGATCATCAGATTCAAAGGCTTCGCAGAAAAAGGAAATAGAGGAAGTATGTTCCCCTTTCTATTGTTTTTTTTTTTTTTTTGATAATGGATGTTCCCCTTTCTATTGTGAGATGTTTTATATTGCTATATGGTCTTTCTTTAAACCTGGAGTACTACTTTTGATTTTCTCTTAGTCCAGAGTTGCCCGGTAAATTTGATCTCTTGGTGAATATTAAATCTTTCAGGTGGAAGAAAAACTTGAAGCTGGACAGAGCAAAGCAGCAGTCAGGCGATTCTTTTCTAGATTGTTCACACCCATATTTTTGGAGGTATTTATCTGCATTTGAGCTCAATATATGTTCCATTCAAAGGAATGTCTGTTATTTTTTTAATTTCACTCAAGGGTGTGTCCAATGGATAGACCAGAAAATTGTGATAAGAGGGAATCTAAGTAATCCGATTTCCTCTTAATTTCGTAGAGAGTATTACTTTTTCTTCCATCAAATATGTGGAATGGAAGTGCTGACATATCTTCCTCAAGTTTACTTCATTTCCCCGTTTCCCTCTTAAATGACATGTTCCCACATTCTAATTTCTATCCAATTTCCCATTATTTTGCTTCCTCCAATTGTGTCACATGTTGTATTTTGTTGGTCCGACCATATCAGTTTATTACTTAATTAAAATCCTAAAATCTATGAAATTTATAAAATAACTAACATTAATTTGTTGTCGTCTGTGCAGTCTTTTATCTTGACCTTTCTCGCAGAGTGGGGAGACCGCAGCCAGATAGCAACAATTGCTGTAAGATATTCTTATTTCCTTTTGATTGGGGCTCACAAAAAGCTGGGTGCTACCTTTGTTTTCACGTGCTCGTTAATCTCTTGGTTTTCAAGTTGTAGCAATTTTTTAAAATAGTTAATAAGTCAAGAAATTATTAGCTTATAATAATAGGAAAGTAAAGAAGATTACTGGTAAGTAGAAGCTATAGAGGTATTCACTGTCTCGAGCAAGAATATGGCTAAGCAGAAACATACAGGGCTTATTAGCTTAGTAATATGTGTCATTTAAGTTCAAGCGACGTGTTTAATTGATTATGATCTTCATTCTGCAGTTAGCTACACATAAAAATGCAATTGGTGTTGCTGTTGGGGCAACAATAGGACACACTATATGTACTTCAGTGGCAGTGGTAGGTGGAAGCATGCTCGCATCGAAGATCTCACAACGAACAGTAGCTACAGTCGGAGGGCTTCTATTCCTCGGGTTTTCCTTGTCATCGTATTTCTATCCACCTCTATGATTTTGGCTTCATTAATCGACCTTAATTCTTCTGGAATGGCATTGTTGAATCCAATTTTTCGGTTATTTCAATAGGCTTAAGAAGGAAATGAATTATTTGTACTACAGGAGTTTTACCTTATTTTTTTGTGTGTAAATGCAAGGGTATGGAACATGTTTTACATAAATCAGAAACATTGTTGAAAAATGGGCAGTTGTCTATGTTTACATTGTTTTAGAAAGAAGTATGAAAAATTGAGATGACTTCCTACACTAGAGTATTCTCCTTTAGTGTGCTATTGCTTTTAACTTCACTATGAATACAACAACAAACAAATAACAATCCCACATAGTGGAGTCGGGGCAGGGCAAGTGTACGCAGACCTTACCCCTACCTTGTGAAGGAACTTCACTATGAATATCCCCTAAAATTTATTTTCCTGTCAATTTATTCCATCAAATGCCTAATGTCTAAGAGCTCCTTTACGAGTTAGAATATTGGAAACAAGGGGGGAACTAATACAAAGTTTGGTTGGCTGCATAAGAAAAGGTTATCTTCGCAAAACTAATTCAGCGTTTGGTTAGCGAGAATCTGAAGGGGAGCCGAGCCTTGGTGTAATTGTTAAAGTTGCTGCCTTGTGACCAGGAAGTCACGGGTTCGAACCGTGAAAACAATCTCTTGCAGAAATGCAGGGTAAGGCTGTGTACAATAGACCCTTGTGGTCCAGCCATTTCCCGAACGCTGCACATAGCGGAAGCTTAGTGCACCGGGCTGCCTTTTTGGTTAGCGAGAATCTTGTCTTATTTTATACGAGATAGAATGCGGAATACTAGCAATACATAGATAAGGTTATTTGAGGGAGAAAAGGTCCTAAAATAGTTACTCATGAAGCCACCTTCCTACAAAAATGAGACTAAATTTATTGATCTTTTCTTTGTTCTAATGATTATATTTCAGACAATTTGGACTGACTAGCAGTTAGGTATTCTATCTTTGTTTCATATTAGAAAAGGAAAATGAAAGACAGAAAATATTTAATGCAAAATTTCAGCAAAAAGAATGAACTTTTACTCTATCTGCCTACTTATTTTTACTACTTAATTCTACTTCACTGCATCTAGGGACCAGATAATATAACCTTTTTGTTAGGTTTGTTAGTTTTTTTCCGTCCCCACAAATGTATAGGCATTTGTCTACCTCAATGCCTAAACTTGGGTAAATGTCCACATCAAAGAACTCAATCAAGAAAATTTTGCAAGGACATGACCTTTTGGAATGTTTATTTCTTCATTAAAAAAAAGTTTGATTTTGTACTTAGCTATCTTGGGTGTAACTCTATGGATATATGCTGGTTTTTATGTCTTAACTAAAGAGTTGTACTTTGAGGATGTTCTAAAATTCTAAGGATAACTAACATACCCGGTGAAATCTCACAAGTGAGGTTTGAAGTCCGTAGTGTATATGCAAATTTTTCCCCATATATATCTTGTGGGGTAGAGAAGTTTCTGATAGACCCTCGGCTCAAGACAAACATAGTCTTGTCTTAATTATAAAACCGAAACATAAGCATGTTCTAGAATGCTAGCTAAGTTCAATTCATAAAGTTCCCCATTTAACATGTATAATATAAAGTTTTGCAGTTATCGACACTTATACTAAAGGCAGATACTTAGTGAAATAATCGAGGTGTATGTCAGTTGACCGGACACCACCATTAACAAAAAGACAGTGCAATGTTTACTACATTTGCAAGTTATACACAAGTTATAATTAATATCCACGAGGTACAAAGAAAATATCTTATTCTATAAAGGAATAATTCAATGCAAGACGTTTGGATCCAAAGTTAGTTACACTTGATATATTCCTTACACTTAATATCCTACATTTGCTTGTAATAGACTCCATAGAGGTGGAGTCCAATTTAAGTATATGAACATTCCACTAGAAATGAAATGAAAGAAAAGGAAAAGAGAACTTTAGATTATATATGTTTAGTGTCAATGGGAGAGTACTGTTTGGTATGATCTCTCCAACAAAAACAAATGGTGACTTCTCCTCTAAGTGTAGCAAGTAAAAAGGAGAAGACCCCACCATGCATTTAGCCCATCATCTTTCTACCACTCAACAGATAGGATTTAAGTTAGATACACTGTTAATATAAAAAATATATTATGCATTATTAACCGTCAGAAATTTCGTTAAGAATATTCAAAGGTTGTCTACGGCAACAATCTCTCTGTGTTCTTGAAGGTAAGAGTAAGGTCTGCGTACACACTACCCTTCCAAGACCCCACTTATGGGATTACACTGGATTTCTTGTTGTTGTTGTTGCGTTCAAAGTTTAAAATATGTATACAAAAAGTATTTTTTAACCGATATACAAAGTATAATTTTTACATATGCAATATAATTTTTCGATAAAGGATATTTAGTTCAACTTAACACCCTTCACTTTATGTGACTACGCCACGGACTATTAGTACATTTCAAGAACCAGCTGTAACAAATTAATTATTTACTTTATTTTTAGGTTATAATCTCGCTTATTATGAAAAATTATTTATAATTACCTTTTAAATAACTTGATAGTGTTAAAATTTCTTGTGATATCATATATATAGAAGTTAATTTCTAACATATATATAAAGAAACAAAATAAAGACAAAGAAAGAGATATGAAGAATGTACAGTTGGGATTTCTTCTTTAGTTTACGTTTGATTTGGATATTCTAAGGTTTTTTTATTTATCTTTTTTCAGCTAAATATTTGTTATAGACTTTTAAATACGTACCATTATTCTGACTTAATAACAAAGGCAACTAGCAAACATTATATAACAAACTATTGTCTTTCACCAACCATCTTCCTCCTCCATCAGTTATATCTCAACCTCCTACAACTCTAAAGAAGAAAAACAATACACCCTTTGATAAGTTTAGTGTTTTTTTTTCTTTACTAGGTTTTTTAGTTTACAACAATAATGAGGTATAGAATGGAAAGATTTGTGTTACTTCCATTTTCTGTGGGTTGCATCTCTGAATCAAGTGTTGCAGTTGGTCATCATCATCAGCTTAATAAAAGTCCAAGTCCTGAACCCAAGTTAACTCTCCCAAGTATGTCTTATTTCCTTTTTCTCAGACATCGTTTAGTGGCGAAATCAGAAATTTTAACAGAATTTTAAAAAAAAATCAAGAATGTTAGCTCTAGGATTTAAACCTGCGATATAAAGTAATTTTTTAACCATCTTTATCACTTCACTAAAAGTTTCTTTATGTCCAAAAAAAAATTATTTTTGCCTTATTTAAAGAATATAATTTTTCGTAAAGGGATTCAATTGAACCCGTTCATTACATGTAGTTCCGCCACTACACCACCCCACTACTTCTAAAAAAGTAGACCAGTGCACAAGACATCCCGCGTTCACGACGGATCGGTCGGGGAAGGTTCACATCCCAAGAGGTGTGAAGTGGACAGTCAGTACAAGCATTAGTGGCTGCTTCCGCATGCCCCGCTACTTCTCTTCCCCTTTTTAATAAATTCATATGTCAATTTCTGGTTTATATTGGTATTTAACATTTGTCATAATGCAGGAAGCCAAAAAGAAGGAAAGGAGGAGGAGCAAGATCAAGAAGATGAAGATGACAAAGGTTTGGAGGGTGAAAATTTGAAGAGTACATTAGGCCTTATGGCCCTTCCCAAGTTTCAGAGGCTTTTCAAGAACTTGTCCCAGTTATTTGGTAAGTTCTCCTTGGATATTAGTATACTCTTCTTTAAAAAAAAACAAATATTAGTATAATACCTATGATGGAATTGGCTGCCTTCTGTTTAATGCATGCACTGTGTTTAATTTATTCATACGATACTACGTGTTTATATCAAATCAAATAATTTAATCAAGATGCAAATTTAAATGAGAATACATATCACTTAGTTTTTTAATTAAAATATTGTATATTGTCAACTTAATTTGTAGTTAAAAAACGGAAAAAAGAAACAAGATCTACACAATCAGCGTGAAAAAATGTAAAGTTTATAATTAAAAAAAAAAAATCAGTTGGATTTGCTTATAACCTTTTCTTTTAACATATTATTCAGCAAAATAAAAATGTATTCTTAATTTACACTCAAGATCATCTAGATTCTTAAGTCAGCGAATACATATTACTACCATTAAACAAATATTCCTTTGTAGATTTAAAGAAAAACTAGTCATTTAATTTGTGATAATGGATAAAAAACACGTTGAGATTTTGTACAAAACGATATCAGTCTATTAGCACAACTCAGTTTGTATGTAGATTTGGGTGTGGAGTTATAGAGGTTCTAAGACTTTACTTCTTATTCTAAATTAATGTTTATTTTTCGTTACTCTCAAAGATGTTCGCCTATATCCATTTATTCCATATATATATATACATATAAAGAGAGACACACACACATATATTTAAAGATATTATTTACATATATATATTTGTGTATTTTTTCTTCGAATATTGTTAGATGCATCCATTTTGATTTAAGTGTATACTTATTTTTTTATTTTATTTTTGTGAACCAGTGGACAAGGAAGAAATGGAAGACGAAGAGGAGGAGATGGGAATGGAAATAGGATTACCAACAGATGTGAAGCATGTAACTCACATTGGAATAGATGGTGATTCTACTTCTAGCCTTTCAACAAGAAATTGGGATCATCTTAAATCCCCTAATGATAATTTCCTCACTCATTTCCCTTCTAATTTCCCTTTATCTCCTTTTGCCATTGCTCATTCACCTCACTCCCCTAATCACATTTCCATGGCTAGCTCCTCTTATTAATTAATTCATTAATTACCGCTTTTCACTCGTCCGCCACTGGAAACACTATTTTTCGTCCGACTTGTATGTGTTAAGCATATCGCCAGTGTTCATTCTGAGCCAGGCTCGTTTCCCACTGTCAAAAAAGGATCAATTTGAATGAAGTAATTCTTATATGTTGGAAAATTTGTGTCAATGTTACCTTTAATTGGTTCTTGTCAAAGTATTGTACTTGGATGGATTACTTGCCTATAGAGTTTGTTGGGTGTGAGAAAAAAGTTAAATGTATATTTGTTTCTTTTTTACTTCAGTAAAAATAAATAAGTTCATTATTGTTATTATTATTATTATTATTATTATTATTATTATTATTATTATTATTATTATTATTATTATTATTAATATTAATATTATAAATTATGCACGTTTGGGTAATGAATGGTGTATGCCGAATTTTTTTATTAGATTATTTTTGACCTGCTGTTTTATGTCTTCCAATCCAAAACAAAATTGGATTTTGGTTCTTGTCAAAAGTATTGTACTATGATTGCTTTACTTGCCTATATAGTTTGTCGGTGTTGGAAAAAACATTCAAATGTATATATTCTTTCCTTTTTCTTTCGGAGAAAATAAATAAGTTCATTTATATTATTATTATTATTATTATTATTGTTTGGATAATTTCAGTATTATGATGGAAGAAGCCATCAAAATATCGTCAGAAATCATATATTTTCTAACGAGACTTCAACGATAATAATTTTATCAAAGTTTAGATGTTGTTAGAATTCAGCTCGTCAAATTGTTTTCCCAAAGAAATATTTGAAAATTAGTGAATAATTTTGCGAGATTTTGGCTCAACTTAGGTTAGGATCATTAGACCCTAATTGACAGTTGAAAAACGTTATTGGCTAACACGACGTTTTAAATTGGTTTTGGTGTATGAATTGGATGGTGAGATCTTGATAGGTTTGGGTCCTAGAGTCACCTTTATTAGAAAATACTTTACCTCCCAATATAAAATTTTCTGAGGCGAAACTAGATTTAGTCGGGCGCCAATGCAAATATTGAACACCCGGTAAAAACCAAAAAAGAAAAGAAAGATATTGATGGGTTCAAAACCTTACACATATTTAGATGTAGGATTGTGAATGCAACTCTAATCAAGATGAGAGTTTATTGTTATTGATAGAGAGTGATGGTTATCAAATATGGAGTATATTGTTAAAGGAAAGTGACAAATTCCAATCACAATAAAAATCATTTCGGCAAAATTATTTAATGTGGAAAGAAAGATGTAATAATTAGTTGGGACAATAGGGTAGAAATAGCATTCATTGGTCATTTTTCAACTTTATTTTTGAAAAATAGCTACTGTCCTAAAGTTTTAAATTTGATATACAGTCAGACCTCTCTATAACAATATCCCTATATAACAACATTTCTCTATAAAAGCCAAGCTTTTTCGAAATCAATTTTTATGTTATGTTATAATATATGTTTTCTATAACAACACTTTGCTATAACATTCAAAAATATTCGAAACAAATGAGGTTGTTATAAAGAGGTTTGACTGTACGCATATATGACGTAGACATATTTGATTGTGAATAATATTCAAATTAAATTGGACATTTTTTTCTTGAAGGAGAACGGTAGCTATCACCGCCGGAATATAAACACGATAATTAAACTAAAACATCACCGACAAAAAATATATTTTGGAAAATTATTAAATAGAGAATAGAAGAGCTAAAAAGGAACTTTAGGGAGTGACATTCAAATGTTTCCTACAAGAACAGAAGAAGGAAACTCTTAAATTAACAAACGTGAACGAAAATAAAACACATAAATAACAACATAAGCAATCAATGCAATTATAACATCTCATGTCTATTACGTAATTACTTTTAATGTTAGGATCGGTAAATCGGGTAGTGCGGAATTTAGCAAAACAATATTATAATGACAATAACAAAGACAATGCAAGTTGATAATAACGGCAATTAAAGAAGATAAAGAAGACACAAATTTAACGTGGTTCGGTCAAGGTGACCTACGTCCACAAGCGGAGAGGAGCAATTTCACTATACCAATAAGAGTACAAAAGAGAGTATAAAATTAGAATAAATACTCTAATTAGTCCCAAATACCCCAAGAGAATAACCTCACAAGATCACTCCAAAGAAAGGGTTCACACAAGTGTTTTCCAACACTCACTCTCTTACAATATTCTCTATAATGAAATAAAGGAGGAGAAAGAAAGACAAGAGTGAAAAACTCTTGAATTGGTGTGTTTACAAATGGGGAGAATCTCCTCTATTTATAGCAAGAAATCCTTGGCCTAATAGTGAATATTATGTTATGACAAATGTCATGATCCACAAATTTTGTTATAGTGGATATTATGTCATAGTAAATGTCATGAAAATTTGGCCCACTTGAGAAGAAGCCAAATTAAGGGTCATATTACAAATCTCCACCTTGGCCTAATTTCGGCTTATATATAGTAAATTTGCTCTATCTTCTCCGCAAAAAATCCCAATGGGCAAAATTATTCTTCATAAATGCCAATCAAGTTCAGGCAAAGCTTGAACTTGGACACTGGAAGAGGTTTCGGGAACATGTCAGCAGGATTGTCTCTAGTGTTGATCTTCTGAACAGAGACTTTTCCTTCAGCAATGATTTCTCGGATGAAATGATACTTTATATCAATGTGCTTCGTCTTCTCATGATACATTTGATCTTTAGTCAAGTGAATGGCACTTTGGCTATCACAGTAAATGGTAATACCACCTTGGTGTAAACTGAGTTCCGCAAATAGACCCTTCAACCATAAAGCTTCTTTGATCGCCTCGGTCACTATCATATATTCTGCTTTGGCAGTAGATAAAGCTACTACATGTTGTAATGTAGCTTTCCAACTAATAGCGCAACCACCGATGCAAAATACATAGCCTGTCAGTGATCTTCTTTTGTCAAGATCACCTCCATAATCTGAGTCTACAAAACCAACCAAAGTGTTAGTATTTCTCCCAAACTCCAAACATGTGTTTGAAGTACCTCGCAAGTATCTGAGAATCTATTTCACAACACGCCAATGTGTTTTACCAGGGCAAGCTATATACCGGCTTACCACGCTCACTGCTTGTGAAATGTCTGGACGTGTACAAACCATTGCATACATAATACTGCCGACTGCACTGGAATAAGAAACCTGTGCCATGTATCTCTCTTCTTCCTCTGACTGCGGGGAATAAGCAGTTGATAACTTAAAATGAGCAGCAAGAGGGGTACTAACTGGTTTAGCATCTTTCATGCCAAACCTCTCCAAGACTTTCTCCAAGTACTTCTTCTAGGTTAGAAATAGCCTGTTGGCTTTTCGATCTCTTTTGATCTCCATGCCAAGGATTTTCTTAGCTGCTCCCAAATCTTTCATCTCAAATTCACTTTTCAGCTGACTTTTCAAATTGTGAATTTTTTGTTAAATCCTTAGTAGCAATGAGCATGTCATCAACATATAATAATAGATACACAAATGAACTATCGTTTAACTTCCGGAAGTAAACAAAAGTATCATACATGCTCCTCGAATAACCATGACCCAACATAAAGGAATCAAACCTTTTATACCATTGTCTTGGAGACTGCTTTAATTCGTACAAGGATTTCTTCAACAAGCAAACATGATCTTCTTTTCCTTCACTTTCAAATCCTTCGGGTTAATGTATGTATATTTGTTCCTCAAGTTCGCCATGCAAGAAAGTTGTCTTAAGATCAAGTTGTTCTAATTCCAAATCATACATGGCAACGAAGGCAAGCAAGATACGAATAGAGCTATGTTTAACAACATGTGAGAAAATATCATTAAAATCAACTCCTTGTTCCTCACTATAGCCCTTTGCAACTAATCGTGCCTTATACCTCGCATCTTCAACCCCTGGAATGCCATCCTTTTTCTTGAAGACCCATTTGCAACCAACAATTCTTTTTCTTGATGGCGGCTTCACAAGAGACCAAGTACCATTCTTGTGGAGAGACTCAATTTCTTCATTCGTTGCAATTAGCCATTTGGCTGAGTCAGTACCAGAAACTGCTTCTGAATATTTTGATAGTTTCCCAATTTCTTCAGTTTTCTGTGCAACTGAAAAAGCAAATGCAACATAATTTCCAAACCTTAATGGTTGTTTACCTTCTCTTCTTGGTCTATGTTTGGCTATAGAATACACTTCTTCTTCTGATTCAACTTCAGGAGTCTCAACTTCAGGAATTTCAGCTTCTGGCTCAACTTCAGGAGTTTCAACTGTATTTTGCTCCAAAGTTGATGAGCTTGGCTCAGAAAGAATGCCAATCTCAACCTACACCTGCTTCTGTGTACTCTTTCCTTTATCTGTATTACAAGAACTAGAAGACTCTTTTCTAGAATGTAATCTAGAGGATTCATCAAAGGTTACATCTCTATTAATTATAAATTTTGGTGTCGTGGGATCAGGATACCATAGTCGGTATCCTTTCACCCCAGATGCATACCCAAGGAAAATGCACTTTTTAGCCCTTGACTCTAATTTTCCATCATTTACATACATGTATGCAGGGCAACCAAATATCTTTAAATCAGAATAATTAGCAGGAGTACCTGACTACATTTCCTTTGGAGTCTTAAGTTCAAAGGTGCAAAAGGAGCTCGGTTGATAATATAACAAGCTGTAGAGATAGCTTCTGCCCAAAAGGCGTTTGTCAACCCAGCATTTGAAATCATGCAACGAGCCCTTTCCAAAAGAATTCTATTCATCCTTTCTGCCATACCATTTTGCTGTGGTGTCATTTTCACAGTATGATGTCGAGAAATTCCTTTATTCTTGCAAAATTCGTTGAATTCATCATTATAAAATTTCAAGCCATTATCTGTTCTAAGCCGCTTAACCTGTTTTCCTGTTTGCTTCTCAATCAAAACTTTCCATTGTTTGAAATTTAAGAAAACATCACTTTTATTTTTCAAAAAATAAACCCAAACTTTCCTTGAATAATCATCAATGAAAGTTAACATATACTGGCACCACCTATTGATGGGGTATGTGAAGGACCCCAAAGATCTGAATGAATGTAATCCAAAGTACCTTTTGTTCTATGAATCGCTGGAGATTTGAAGCTGACTCTTTTCTGCTTCCCGAACACACAATGTTCACAGAACTCCATATTTTCGGTACTTTGGCCACATAAGAGACCTCTTTTGCTGAGGATGGAAAGACCCTTTTCACTCATATGCCCCAATCGCATATGCCACAATTTGGTGATGTCAGAATCTGATTTATCTGATATTGAAACTGCAGCAGCACCTGTA